CAGTATAGTATGTAGCACATTTCGAATTCGAATAATGCACCGCCAGTGGAATTCGAACTTGTGAGAACATTTTTCTTTCTAAACGTTTACAGTATAATGTGTAGCACATTTCGAATTGCAACTATGATGCACCATTATTCCAATCCGAACTTGTTATAACGTGTTTGTTCCTAAGCCTTTACAGTACAGTGTGTACCAGATTTCGAATTCCAACTATGAAGCAGCACGGTTCGAATTCGAACTCCTCAGAACATTTTTCCTTCGAATCTTTTACAGTATAGAACGTACCGCATTTCGAATTTTAACTTTGACACATACAGGTCATAACGTGTTTGTTGCCCGAGTTTTACAGTACAGTGTGTACCATCTATGATGCACCAGCATTCGAATTTAAACTTTTTTCTTTCTAATCTTTTATAGTGCGCTATATACCATGTTTCGAATTCGAACTATAATGCACCGCCAGGGGAATTCGAACTTGTCAGGACATTTTTCTTTCTAATCTTTTACGGTAGAGTGTATACCACATTTCGAATTCCATCTTGGATGCACCAGCATTCGAATTCAAACTTGTCATAACGTATTTGTTCCCAAGCTTTTACAGTACAGTGTGTACCACATTTCGAATTCCAATTAGGATGCACCACAATTCGAAATCCAACTTGTCAAAACATTTTTCTTTCTAAACTTTTACACTATAGTATGTACCATATTTCGAATTGGAACTATAATGCGCCACCAATCGAATTCGAACTTGTCAAAATTGTCAGCATTTTTGTTTCTAAACTTTTACAGGATAGTCTGTACCAGATTTCGAATTCAAACTATCGTTCACCACAATTCAAATTCGAACTTGTCATAACGTGTCTGTTTTTTTTTATACTTGTACAGTACCGTGTGTACCAGATTTCGAATATGAACAGTGATGCACCATAATTCGAATTCGTACTTGTCTGAACATTTTTCTTTCTAAACTTTTACAGTACAGTATATACCAGAATTCGACTATGATGCACCGCGATTCAAATTCGAACTTGTCATAACGTAACATTTTTCTTTCTACACTTTTACAGTACAGTCTGTACCCCATTTCGACATTTTGAATTCGAACTATGATGCACCAGAATTCGAATTTTAACTTGTCAGAACATTTTTCTTTCTAAACTTTTACAATACAGCGTAAAGCACATTTGGAATTCCCAGTAATCCGCACCGGACTTCGAGTTCGAACTTGTTAGAACATTTTTCTTGCTAAACTTTTAGAGCACACTGTGTACCACATTTCAAATTGCAACTATGATGCAGCAAAATTCGACACGATTTTTCTTTTTATAAACTGTTACGGTACATCGTATGCCACATTTCGAATTCCATCTTGGATGCACCGGAATTCGAATTCGAACTTGTCAGAACATTTGTCTTTCTTAACTTTTACATTACAGTGTACACCAGATTTCGAATTGCAACTTTGATGCACCGCAATTCGAAGTGGAACTTGTCATAACGTATTTTTATCTAGACTTTTACAGTACAGTGTATACTACATTTCGAATTCCAACTATGGTGCACCACAATTCGAACTCGTGCTTCTCAGATCGTATTTCGAAACTTTTACACTACAGGAGAAACCACAATTCGAATTCGAACTTTGATGCACCACAATTCGGAGTCAAACTTCTCATAAGGTACTTTTTTCTAAACTTTTACAGTACAGTGTGTACTACATTTCGAATTCCAACTATGATGCACCGCAATTCGAATTCGAACTTGCCGTAATCTATTTTCTTCTAAACTTATACAGTATAGTGTATACCACAGTTCGAATTCCAACTGTGCTGCACCACAATTCGAATTCGAACGTCTCAGAGCGTTTTTCTTTCGAAACTTTTACACTACAGTATATACCACAATTCGTATTCGAACTTGTCCGAACATTTTTCTTTTTTAACTTTTACGTTACACTGTATACCACATTTCGAACTGCAACTTTGATGCACCGCAATCCGAAGTCGAACTTGTCAGAACATTTTTCCTTCGAAACTTATACAGTACAGTGTTTACCACATTTCGAATTGGAACTATGATGCACCGGAATTCGAATTGGAACTTTGATGCACTACAATTCGAGGTGGAGCTTCTCAGAGCGTCTTTCGAAACTTTTACACTACAGGATAAACCACAATTCGAATTCGAACTTTGATGCACCACAATTGGAGTCGAACTTGTCATAACGTATTTTTTTCTGAACTTTTACAGTACACTATATACCACATTTCGAATTCCAACTATGCTGCACCACAATTCGAACTCGAGCTTCTCAGGGCGTCTTTCGAAACTTTTACACTACAGGATAAACCACAATTCGAATTGGAAGTATGATGCACCGGAATTCGAATTCGAACTTGTCATAACGTATTTTTTTCTGAACTTTTACAGTAGAGTGTATTCCACATTTCGAATTCCAACTATGCTGCACCACAATTCGAACTGGAGCTTCACAGAGGGTTTTTCTTTCGAAACTTTTACACTACACGATAAACCAGAATTCGAATTCGAACTTGTCATAACGTATTTTTTTCTGAACTTTTACAGTAGAGTGTATTCCACATTTCGAATTTCAACTATGATGCACCACAATTGGAATTCGTACTTGTCAGCACATTTTTCTTTCTAAACGTTTACAGTACGGTGTATACCACATTTGGAATTCCGACTATGATGTACCGCAATTCGAATTCGAAGTTGTCATAACGTATTTCCTTCTAAACGTATACAGTAAGGTTTATACGACATTTCGAATTCCAACTATGCTGCACCACAATTCGAAGTCGAACTTCTCTGAGCGTTTTTCTTTCGAAACTTTTACACTACGGGATAAACCACAATTCGAATTCGGACTTGTCATAACGTATTTTGTTCTAAACTTTTACAGTACACTGTATGCTACAGTTTGAGTTCGAACTTTGATGCACCACAAGTCGAAGTCGAACGTGTCATAACGTGTTTTTCTCTAAACGTTTACAGTACAGTGTATACCACATTTCGAATTCCAGCTATGAGGCACCACAATTGAAATTTGAACTTGTCATGATGTATTTTTTTCTGAACTTTTACAGTACAGAGTATACCACATTTGGAATTCCAGCTATGATGCAGCAAAATTCGACACCGTTTTCTTTTGCTTTATAAACTTTTACAGTACAGTGTATACGACATTTCGATTTCGAACTTGTGAGCTTCCAGCAATTTTTACGACATGGAAAGAGATATTTTATCCAGCACATTTAAAGTCCATCTTAACTGTAGTGCCAGGATTACTGCTGTTTAAGTTTGAGTCTTTGGTATCAAAAGTATCATGAAATGTGGAATGGAGAAAAATTCGAAAAAGTGAACATTTGCTCACGAGGAACCGTTTCTGACATGTCCGACGAGTATTGATCAAGGCCATGTACATTCGGTATGCCTCCGTGAACTATGAAACTATTGGAGGACATATCACAAAGAGAATGTGCATAGAAGAGCTATTTATGGAGAAAGGAGAATTTTAAGAGCTCATTTGCTTCGCGAGAAAGATGAGCTGATATGTCAGAGATATCGCAGCAGGATGAATAATTGTATTGTTCATGATTTGTCCTTCTGTGAGACCCAAAACTCCGACTGGCATACCTATTCGATAGAGCTCGACAAGCTGCGTCGAATGAAGTAGTTCAAGTGGTTTGAACCACATCTTGACGACTGACGTAGTGGCAAGTTCCTATTTCCTGGAAATTCAAATAAATGTCTATTCGAACAATTTCATAGAAATTGTAAGATGAGCAGAAGCAGATACGAGATGTCTCTTTCTGGCTTGGGATGGGATCGGATGCGTTGAAAACCGGCTTAAACGCGTAACTGTCACGCTCACGACGTCAGCTGCGGTGGGTTGAGCGATATTTTTTCTTTCAAATCAGCCTCAGAAGCACATTACTATACGCAGTTATTTGCGCTGATTACGAATATCAACTTAAAACGAACGAAACTCAAAATTTTAAATCGAAAATTCAAATTTAAAATTTTGAAGGTGTTTTGTTTCTATTTTCTGTCCTACTTAGCTTTTTAAAAAGTTTCAGAAAGTATATCAATGGATAAAGAATTAAATTCTCCACAAAATGCACTATTGACTGTCAAAACAATCTTAAAAAACGCATTTTACACACTAAACAAGTTTTTGCAGGTTTTCGCCGAATTCGAAATGATACTTTTTCGGAACAATTGTACGAAAATCCAAAAAACATTTCTCCCACGGTTCTTTTTTGTTTAGTTTGATATACACCTCGACAAGCATCTTCAATAATAAATGTTTCAAGTACATGTAATTATTTTCGTTTCGCCTCAATGAAAACGGTTGCACACAATGTACAAGAAATGTAGAATGAATGTTTTTTCTCTTCTTTGGTGACTCCTACATCTTTTTCACGATGGATGACTGACCTAATGACAGTTTTCATCGATTTACGATCATTTGCTAAACGCAAGTATGTCTGCTCGTCGTGTTCTTAGAACGTCGCATAGAGCACAAACGTTGGGCAAGGCCGTCAATTCAGTGCGTCGCAGGTATGTTGTTATTTAGACGTTCTATTTACTTATTTGCTGAAGATGTGCGGGCCACAATTATGAAACCATAACTGAATACAAGTATTTTCTTTTTAAGACTGCACTTAACGAAATTCACGCGGCATGCACCATCCCCACCATCAGACAGTTACTTGCGGTTAATAGTTTTGCCGCTGCTAAAAAATCAACGACATGTAAATGCTCTACTCGTAATTGATGTACAATATGATTTTATCGACGGTACATTGGCCCTTAAAAATTGTCCCAGTCAGCATCAAGGCGAACAGATTATCCCTGTGATAAATAAACTTCAACAGGATATTCATTTCGATGTTGTTGTCTATACTCAAGATTGGCATACACCTGATCATATATCATTCTTCGAAAATCTTCATATTCGTTCCCATATGCTTGACGACAAGTCGACTCCTGCAAATGGACTTCAATTATTCGATACAGCCATATTTTTATTCGATGATGAAATTAAATACCAGGAAAAGAAGCGTGTTGAACAAATATTGTGGCCGGCACATTGCGTACAACACAGCCATGGAGCTAAATTACACAAAGATTTGCAGATACTTGAATCGACACCAAATCAACACGTCATTTCTCTATTCAAAGGATTCGATCGAGATATCGATTCTTACTCGGCATTTTGGGATAATCAAAAAATTAGAGAGACTGAGCTCAATTTACAACTACAAAAATACAATGTTACACGAATTTTCGTTGCTGGGCTTGCAACTGATGTTTGTGTCTATTCGACAGCACTACATGCAGCTGAATATGGTTATGAAACATTTATTATTGAAGATGCTTGTCGAGGTGTAGATGAAGCAGCTATTGAGACCAGGCTCGACGAGTTGGTGAAACTTCAATGTACAGTTATCCAATCGGCTGATGTCAAAGCCCTTGTTGAAAGCGGATAATCATGTACGCACTTGCTTTATTTGAACACGCGCAGAAACTTTTTAAAAAATCTCTATATTACATTAAAAGAACCAGATGATAGAAAAAAAGAAAATTTGAGCGAATAAGGTCAATCGACAGAGTGATACACTTGCAAAATAGAGAGAATTAGAATAAATACCATTTAATGCGCATTGATGGGCGTACAAATCGAATAATTCTTGTCGATAAGTGCCGCTTCCGAGAGAACAAGCTTTTGAGTTCGTATTTCGCCGTTTTAGGAAAGTGTTTATCGCAGTGTCCTTAAGGGGAGATCCTAGATTTCTCGAGAACAGCTAAATGGAAAATTCTGAAACTTTCAATCCAAATAGATCACGATAACCAGAGCAAAATTAATGCTATACTTAGAACCACCCCTGCAGTCCTACTTCCGTCAGAAGCTGAAACTTTTTCTCAAGTACTTGAAACAACTTGGACTACTCATTTTTTTAGTTGATTGCTCAGGAAATCAAAATCAAATACGAAAAACGCTTATTTTTCCATGTACAGTTATCGCAGCACATATGAGGCTATCTTAGTATAGATCATTTATTACTCCAAAACGCTCTGGAACATGTTTTTCTCCAAAGTCGAATTAAAAATGCAAACTTTTCGTTTGTGACAGCCGATAGGGAACATTTAGAAACAAAAGAATCGAAATTGAAAAGCGAATTTTCACAGTTAGGGAAGAGGGGTGCTCTAAAATTGAAGGCGAAAAGTGTGCACCAATGATGTAATCAGCTTTTGGTTATTTTAGACATCCATCCCCCTCACAAAATGTTCGCTTTTTGTCGAAATGATCGGGGCAAATTGAACAGCAGAATCGATCTGATTTTTCAGCTAAGATCAACTGTAATTTCGAAACAATTTTTGACTTCTTGCGCATGAAACTAAAGTATCTACTAAGCTCTTTTCTAGGAGAAAACTCCTAAGGTGTTTCTGAATCAACGATGTAGGATACCAATCCCTCTTGTGACGGCGACTTGAATTGGTTCTTAGCTTTATTTTGTTAAAATTCGACTGTATCTGATGGTACAATGGTCTAAGCTCTTTCCAAATGAATGTTGCCTTCTTTTTATAATGACAAGAAAGAAGTGCATTGTAACTAAATGTCATTACGAAAATACAAAAGAAGATGGTGACTAAGATAACGTTTGCCCAGAAAAAAAGAATAATAACCCTACCCCATAATAGAAGATCATCCCCTATAAGAAGACCGTTTGATGTAAGGCGCCGCTAATTCAAAGTTTGAGCACTTTCGTTTTTTAGTTAAAAGACACATATGCTGATGCATCGGGAGCTGCTGATTACGAATATCGCCTTATTGTTCCGATTTGATTAAGTCTTCACGTAGAAAACTGTAAAATACTGTTGACATGTCAAAATTCGGAAAAAGCTGCCACTATGAAAAACAAGAACTAACTCCGCTCCATTCCACTTTTCGATCTCGCCATGGTGTTATTCGGATTCCTTGAGTGAAACTGAGTCTAGACACGTAGTCTAGAGCCAGATCGCATACTATGTGTCCGATCCAGAAACCCGTCGATCGACACACCTCAATTTGTAACATCTAATTTTGTAAACCTATCTAGTTTTTTGTGTTGATAGATGGACACCTCATTCATATACCATTCGATTTGCCGCTCGACGAACAACAAAAGTACGTATTTTGTTTTTTTTTATTCGTTTCGAAACATTTCGAAGATAGGTTTTTCAGTGGATCTTTAGAAAAGCTCTTCATATCTTTGGAACCTCACGTAATGATATACAGATTTTTTTTCATAGATATATAGGCCAACATGCCTTCTAAATGTCAGGATCTAAGCGACTTCTTACTTTTGCTTGGGTCGGCCTAGAAAGCCGGATAACTGAGGACACACCTGTCTCCTTTCAGACACGTCTAGAAATCTCAGAAACATGTGGATCATAGGTCATCGAGCGCACTGTTTACCGTGGCAATGTTTGTTTCGATATGTAAACGAAAATAAGGTCAGAAAATAAAATATTTTTAAAATTCGCTTTTTAGCCTTTGACCGTGGTAGATTCAAAGTTTTATAATTCGGCCACTTTGAGTCCAAATTGACTCAAATTTTCAGGAGATACTCAAAACAAGTCACACATACAAGATCGGGCCGAAAGAACCAGTTATAAACCACCGTTACAAGGATGGTCCAAAAACCTTACAACAGCGGCTTACAAAGAGAAACCTCCTCCAAAACCTGAGCATGTAAGCAAACTTTCGAACCATTCTTTCAGTTCGACCTTGTATCTATGACTTGTTTTGAATATCTCCTGAAATATAGATAGACGGGTTTCTGGATCGGACACATAGTATGCGATCTGGTTCTAGACTACGTGTCTAGACTCAGTTTCACTCAAGGAATCCGAATAACACCATGGCGAGATCGAAAAGTGGAATGGAGCGGAATTAGTTCTTGTTTTTCATAGAGGCAGCCTTTTCCGAATTTTGACATGTCAACAGTATTTTACAGTTTTCTACGTGAAGACTTAATCAAATCGGAACAATAAGGTGATATTCGTAATCAGCAGCTCCCGATGCATCAGAATATGTGTCTTCTAACTAAAAAACGAAAGTGCTCAAACTTTGAATTAGCGGCGCCTTACAAATAGAAGAAAAATGTTCATTTAATAATTCTGCTCTTTCCAGGGTGAGGGTATTTATAGAATTTACAAGAAAAGCCCGAAGTTAATTTATCCGAATTTCTGTAGCTCTGAGCTGACAATGAACACTTACGGCTTTTCTTGTAAATTCTATAACTTTGCAAGGAAAGGTCGTGTAGAGCTAGAAGATGTCTCATTTTAATCAGAAATTTGCGGGCTAAAATCGTGCTTCATCAAGAAACGTTTTGGTTATTGTTTCAAAGTTTGTGAAAACTGGTTTTCCAGTTTACCGGGTCATCAAGAGGCGTCGGCCAATATCCTTGTATCCAAATAATGAAAACTTTTCCAAAAATTCTACTCAAAATTTACTGTTTTAGTTAAATTTACAGCTGGATTTCACAAGTGCTCATTTAGACGAAATGCACAAGCAGCAAGTGTGCGATTTACTATCTAAGTTTAAAGACTATTTTTCGGATACACCTGATCGCACAGACATATTAAAGTTAGTGTCTTGCGGGAATACCTTTTCTCCATTCCCACTCCGCATTCCATAATCTGAGACCATAATCTGAGGCATCCAATTATAGAATAAACGATAGATCAAACCTAGGATAGGATACAATTAGTGCTGAGTAAATTCTTTAACTCGTCAAACGTTTTCTAGCATGCTTTGGTCCAAACGAAAGGTTTAGGCCATTTCCGAGGGTCAGTTCTTGAAGAGGTTCAGCGAGAGTAGAATAGTTTTTTATGAACCTTCTATAATATCCGGTGAGCCCCAACTTGGGGCGTGTGATTTGTCTTGGGGGCTCCAAGACAGATCACACGCCTTTAGGTTTTACTGGAATTGGGAATTTTGTGAACAGTATCAAGTTCCAGTGGACCGTTCGAACTTCGTGGTTAGAAACGACGTGTCCTAAGTATTTAAGTTCTGTTTGAGAGAAATGGTATTTCGAAACTTTTAAAGGCAGGCTACTAGCTAACGCGCTAGTCAGAATGGCTCTTAGATATGTAGATGAAGTTAGCACCAGATTCGAGTAAAAGTTGCCCAGATTCGTCTAGGGACCTGTTCCAAAGTCCCTATTCTTGTTCCAAGTACAACTTGAAGAGCTCTATCCATTGGTATAATCAGAATTTCTATACGTCAAATCATCTCCTTTTTGTTTATTTTATTGCATAGACTAGATTTAGTTTGCTCAATGGTAATTTAATAAACACTTTTAGATGTGATATGTCACAGAAAAAAAAAAAATAACTAATTAATTTTTCAATACGTAAACAGCTGTTTCCGCATGAGAAGGTGAATGGTTAACTTCGGTAACACCTTGAAGATCGTTGAATATAAATAAACGATCGGAAGAGTCGATAATAGTGGTGGTAAAATGGCCAACTTCTTGATTGATTGTTGCTCGTAAATTATATCTATATAAGAGAGATTCATGCTTAATTTTTTTGTCTCATTTTATAAAAACTGAAATACGTGTCAGGGAAAAATCAGTGTAGTTTGAATTTTAGCATTCTGCCGTTTCGAACTTAGCAGATTAAGAAGAATGTCTAGCCTCTAACGAGGGAACCTCCCGAGGTGATAAATCGCTTTTTGATCGACATCTAGTGGGTTATAGGTTATCGACCATGCTGATTCCGAATATGACCATGGGGCTTCCCCATAGCCCTTCGAAGATCCAGTCTTCTGGAAAACCGGTTTTTCAGAAACCCCCAAAAATAATCCAAACCTTTCTTAACAATGTAGAATTGTAGCGCGCAAATTTCTGATTAAAATGAAATATTCCCCAGCTCTACACCACCTTTCTTTGCAAAGTTATACAATTTATAAGAAGAGCCCTAAATTAACTATTTCTGTGGCTTTGAGCTGACAATGGATAATTTAGGGCTTTTCTTACAAATTCTATAACTTTGCAAAGAAAGGTGGTGTAGAGCTGGGGGATGTTTCATTTTAATCAGAAATTTGCGCGCTACAATTCTACATTGTTAAGAAAGGTTTGGATTATTTTTGGGGGTTTCTGAAAAACCGATTTTCCAGAAGACTGGATCTTCGAAGGGCTATGGGGAAGCCCCATGGTCATATTCGGAATCAGTATGGTCGATAACCTATAACCCACTAGATGTCGATCAAAAAGCGATTTATCATCTCGGGAGGTTCCCTCGTCAGACTAGACATGCAACAATCCCAAGCCAGGGTTTGCTGATCGGCACCGAACATGTTCGGTAGCAAACCATTCGGTGCCGATCAGCGAGTCCCGACTTGGGATTGTTGCATGCCTAAAAGATACGACCTTAGGGCCCTCCGTAAATTGAACGCTCTTTCACGAGAAAATGTTGTACAGAGCTCGGAGATGTCTTAATTTCTTCAGAAATGTTTTCTCTATATGACGGAGCTATTTGCAAGGCATTGCTAGATTGAACTCGAGGACTTGCTTTCCTGAGATCTTGGTTTGCCACAGACCCTGATTTCATGAGTTTTTATGGAACCTCTGTATACAGCACATCAGATCTGAAATTCTTTCAGCTATCCAAATCTTTCTTCAAATTGTTCAACCACTGTGGCCGCCGAGAAAAATGAAAAATAAAGGTGGCAAATAAGTTTTGGACCCACTGCAGTTTAAGCGACGAAGTATTTGTCCAATACATCTGTGAAAGCAAACTTTTGCAACAATGTGTTATAGCTCATTGGATTCAATTCTGCATTTTTCTATATATAAACTACTCTGAGTGTGCTGGCAAAAGTAGGATCATTTCTGAACGCCACTAGGGGTAAAATCGAGATATCTGTCAAGTATTTGTCCCGCACATCTATGAAAACATTAGTTTGAAGAGGTGTGCTGTGTATCATTTTAAAGCCCGTTTAATTACGCATGTTTTCGTGTATAAGATTCTATTAAGAACTTCGAACTTGCGGAGAAAAATGAATAAGTACGATCGAATAGGCGTTTTAGACCGATGCTCAGAAATGATTAAAAATTTTAGCATTTGGTAGTCTACAATGAACTTTTAAGGCGCAGAAAAATTAAAAACTAAATAACGAACGGTTTCTGATCAGTTCCAGCCGTTATCTTCGGAAAAATATATAGGACGGTTGTTGCAGGAACCGTCTGTTGTTTTTTATTTACCAAATCAACTTCGTACTTAAATAATGACTTAAACGAAAGATTTTCTCATAAACTTTAAATCTTCACAATATCATTTCTGGCAAATATTAAATTTTTATTCAATGCAACTTGTTCTTTTCTGAAGGACAGCTGCTATCTTGTTTTTGCTTCACCTTTCTTATAAGCATCTAAACGAAATAACTGTAATGCAATAAATCACAAATTCTTAATCTGCGGACAAACATTCGCACACAACAGTATGAATTATCATACGTGGAACGAATCTGGCTCAATTTTTGCATTGTGTAGAGAAGTAGCGTGGGACTGAAAAAGCACGAGAGTTTATCAGTATTTAAGAATAGTTAAACTGATATTCTACTGCTAATCCTTTAGTGAATATTCGGGCAGTATTTTGTTGAGATAATCACAATGAGTTAGAAGGAGATGCATTAGTATTCTGATGTACGATGATTGTAGTCTTAGCTGGGAGAAAAACCCGAAGAAAAAAATCGTTGAACATGTTAGACGACTCTTTATCAGATGAAAACGTATGGTTTTTACTGTCATTGAAAAATTTCTCAACCGGACCGTTATTCTTCTTAACTTATTCTGAGAAGTCCAGAAGCGTTTTGGATCACTGAAAGGAGAAAATATTTTCTTAAATAACTTTTGCCTATCTCGCTTTATGGAAGAAATAACTTTGTTATACATTGCTTTGTAAGATGTGGCTATTACAACAGAAATGTAATAGAGTTTTATGAGTAGAAAATGAAACAATCCCACTGATGAAAGTTAGTGTAGAACACTCAATCCAATTCCGGTTGAATGACACAAATTGTCTCTCGATTCTCTTTGACAACTGATCTCGGCCGACTATTGAATTTAGGACGAAGTCAACTGACAGAAAATATGCTATTTCTAAGTAAGAAGTTTTCAAAAAAAATAGAATAAGAGCAATGAATTGAAAAACAAGTCTTTTTTCAGAAAGTAACTTTTAAACAGAAAGACATCTTCAGGTAGCATTTTTTCCTCAAATCTAAAGTGGCCTCCTTAAATCAGCATCGGTTTAGCTATTCATAACAAGCGTTCCTGAAAAAACGTAACTCTACCCTAACCCGATAAAATTTTGACTCTTTTGTTATGTTATTAAGTTTATGCGTTTTTCCTTATCTATTTGTTCAGTGGAGGGCATCGCATTAGGATGCAAAAGTAAGTGGACAAAATGTCTCACCATTTTTCTTGTGATAAAATACATTTCGGAAAAATGAAAAAAACCTGTTGAGAATCTCCATACCGAGCGAATCTTTGCTATACCCTAAAAACTAAGTTTGTAAGAAAAGAAAATCTGGTATTTTTCGACAAATGTAAGTCACGGGCTTGACAAAATCAAAAAGCAAGGAAGGTCTCTTGAGGATAAACGTTTTTTACCCTTGCTTTCTGCAACTCAACGCAATAAAAAAATGTTCCCCCGGTCAGGCGGAAAATATTTTTTTTTCTAGAGCAGGAAAGTGTGTGACCCCTTCATTCCTATCATGCAACCCGCTCAGTTTGTATTCTTTATATAAATTTTTTGTAGTACATTACTAAAACGTTTTTCGGCATAAGATTGTAGAACAGACAATTCTCTACACAATAAGATGTTAAAATAGGATACACGACATAACGGTCGAAAATTATTCGCGTTTTTCTAAACATCATTTTATACCCAAAAAAGATTTCGGGAACAACACGATTTTTCACAAAGCAGGCTTTTGGTAAAATTAAAAGTTTGGCCCAGTTTTTACAATGCAAAAATAATCTAAGATCGTCTAGTTGGCAGAGAAAATTCTGCTTTATAAACTAGAAAGTAAACCACAGTTTAATCTTTCAATTTGAAGTGGTTATTGTCAAAACCCAAACAAATATTATCGTTACAACCTAAATTTTGGTGATAACAAAGGTTCTTCGTTCTTTTCGTGGAATCTAGGCATTAGAACACGAGCAGTTTATGTTAGAAGAGCTTACGATCCCAACAGTGTCAAAAACCTATTTTTCCATTCATTTGCGAGATTTGTAAACCGTAGGTATGCACCATTTTCAGTTTTTAACTGAAGAACTATAACTGTAATATTTATGGACTTTTTGGCAACATCAAAAGTGTAATCTCTACCTAATCGTCATTTGTCAAATTCTAAGCTAATTCAGAATTTTGAATATAAATTTAAGTTATCTTAAACCCTTCCTCAAAATACAATTTTCCGTATTTTCGACAGTGAAGCTCTCGGGTGTTTGTAATAAAATTAAGTCTATCGTGAATCATCTTTCTACATTTTCCAAAACAATTCATAGTAGGAAGAACTTTCTAGCTCTATACAGACCACGTAAACATATAATTGCAAAAACCGCAACAAAAACTAAATAAGCAAAACAGTCAATTTTCATGTCACTCAATCCGAATGGGTCGCAAATGACCCATTCTGCTCCTCTGCAGTAAAAGAACTTCGCTCAACTTTAACCATACCATTGTCATATCAAGCACCCACATAAGCTATTCCTGTAGTCAATTCAACACCAGATCTGCTGGATTAGTACTAGGGGGTAAAGGGTTAATACCAAACATTATTTGTCAGACGGAACCTATTTTCCGAGGAAAATATGGAGGTTTCGTATTGAAACCTTTTACCGGACAGAACCGTTCCGAGGGTTAGATGTGGGACCCACGGAAAGAACTCTTAAAAGGTTCTGTCTGTACCCTTTTTATTTAGAGAGTAGTGATGTTTTTCTTCTTCAAAAATCACATATTTCATTTTGGGAAACTCAGTAGCGAAACAGACTGTCAACATCTTCATAACATGTTTTCTATCGTACAAAGTTGTTTCTATTTATGTGTTCTAGTTTGCTCATTCAACTTCTCGCTTCCTCAAAAAAAAAATCTGAATGTTTTAGTTTTTGTTAACACGATAATCCAAGAAAAGCAATTTAATTGTTTTCTGAAATATAGATTTCTCATATAACTGCTGTAATTCTTCGTGGCAATGAATCATTAACTTTCTTTTTCTTTTGTTTCGTTTTATGTCGTAAGTTTCAAAGATAAATTTTTAAAAAGATAAAAGAATAACTTTTTTCTTTTTGTCCTATTTATTTAGATCAACATGACGCTGTTATATGCAGTTGTTTAAAACAAATAAAGTATCAAACTTCATTACATTTTTTTTATTATTTAAATTGTGTAAAGAAGAAATTAAAACACATTAAAAAATGTATCTATTATTCATTCTGCTTGTGGTATTGAATTTATTGGCTAAATTTAATGCATATCCTGGTATGAATTCGAAACAGAAACTAACGGTGATTGGTCCAACATGTACTCAAGGTGGACACAATCCGCTACCTCCATCTGGAATATGTCCTCAATCAAACGATACATTTGTTTTTCCAGGTAGGTTATGTTAATTACTCAATAAACATGTAGAGCTATGACGTTTTGTAAAGTTCAGCACTTTTCGGCTTTCTATTCAAGGTATGCATGATATTCCAAGTGGTCAAAGTGCTATTCATCGTTGGCCACCTTGGTTCACAGTTGAATGGGATTTCTATTTTATTTTTGATCCTGCCAATATTCCACCCTATTTTCCGATTCCACAAGGTAATTTTACTTCTACACGCGGTCGTACATATTATGATGATACAACCAGTCAAGGTCGATGTATGAGAGAAGTGTATGACAAACGGTGTATACCAATATTTTTTACGGATGTTTTGTCAGTGAATAACAATTATTCATGTGATTTTCTCAATATTGGTGAAACACAAACAGCCTATTTAATTTTGCATGATGATCGACCCAAAGGAGCACCAGAATGTTGTATTATTGGTCAACCATTTTATCCACCAGCAAGAAATTTTTCTGATCAATTATATATCAAGAAAAATTCGACAATTGAGGTAATATAAAAAGCTATATAGTATATTCAATAGTTAGCAATTATTCACCGGTCTCAAATATACAAAAGTGTAACAGTTACTGCCATTTTTTGCGAGTAAACCAAGTACTTGCCAAGAAAATCAAGTACTCGAATTACTTTATCTTCTTGTCAAGTTCTTTGCCAAGCACTTGGCAAAGTAATTCCAAGTACCTGTGTTAGGTTCAACAAGTAAATCAAGTACCTGGCAGGTGCTTTTAGGCATTTATCAAGTAGTATTTTTTCAAAATACTTGTCAAGTACCCGTGGAATTTGCAAATAAACACGTACCCAGTCGCAAGTACATTCACTAGGACTTCTATTTCTAATAAATTAGTTCTGTTTTGCGTAAAATACCATTAATTTCATAAAGTGCAGCATAACAGATTCTAATTTTAATCCGTTTTACCTGAGTGTTCTCAGCAATACCAGGAAAAATACATCGAACAATGGGTACTACAAGAGATACTGTTAGAATTTTGATACTTAATAGACTATATACAAGAGCATCGTGTACTCACCAGAGAGATCAGAATACCTTGACGAAAATTCTTTGTCTGAAATTCAACTTATTTGATTCTCCCTACTAGAGACCAAAGTGATACAATAATATTGATCTTCAGATATCGTTAATGTCTACTTATCATCTCATCTCTTCCATAACGTCGTTGAATCAAACGTTTTCGGGCGCTTTTATTGAATACATTTTCTAACAACGTTGAAATGATATAACCTCGAATTCTTTTTTTTTTGTAAGCGCATTTAGAAACCACACGTTAAAGCGCGTTCAACAAGAGCGCCAGAAAACGGTTGGTTGAACGATCGTTAATAAACGTGTTATCAAAGAAAGCGTTATTCTAACGTCTTGAACGACAAAAAACGCCTTTAGACGGCTCTTTTAACGATCGTTAGCTAACTCGTTCGGTTCCTGACGTTTTATTCGACTGAGGTGTATGTCATCAGATATTTCTCTTGAGAGATTCCTTTAAAGACAGAACTCCTTTCAAAAAAATCTTGTCTTTATCATTAGCTTAAACGCAACATTTTGTTTTATTTTCAGTTTCGACTTAAGTACGACAAACACGTTTTTAGATATCTCACATTACTTTGTTCTCATCATACTCATTTTTCTGCTTCAGAACATTGATATTGATTGGAATGGTTTAACTCTGGAAGATGCTGGTTTATTTCTATACGGTTTCTACAATAAAACAACAATCATTCCTCATGATCCCATTCCTGCTTCACGTCCATACGTATTCTATATGATGGGTGCACCACAAATAGCCACATGGATGTATCAAAAATTTGGTGACTGGGACCCGATTAGAAAGCCTGATCGTGGAATATGGCAGATACCTGAAGCATGTCAACAAGCAACTGTGTGCCCAGGTTGGGGTTAAAAGAGAACTTCATCGTGATCCTAAGTTTTTTATAAATTCGAATGTTAACAGAATGTAGTTACTCATGTTTATTTCACAATTAAATTTTCTCCATATAATCTATAAACTCTTACCACTAAAAATTTACGAATAATAAAGTAAGAGCCAAATGGATTCGAAAAAATATTTCGGTATTCGAAAATTATAATAGCTAGTGAAAGCGATTGAAACATGTTAAAATCAACAAATAGACAGAAAGAAATCAGTAGAATACATTTAATTCTTGAAGTTCTAACAGTTCCAGAGTTTAATGAATAAAATCTAACAAATTTCGATTTATCTGAGGTCCTAAATAACTATTTTGAGTAATTACATGCATAAATATTAAGATATGACAGCACTAGAGGTTCTTGTATCGTTCACGATTCATTTATGATTCAAAAGAAATGGCAAATGATCTAATAAAACATTTCAAAGACATCTGCCAAATTAATGTGGCTTTTTCTACGATTCGACGTTCTACTGTAAAATGTGGTAACAATGAATATAATCAATTGGCTTATGTTAAAGACTTAGAGTCTTTTTGTGCATTATTTTGTAAAGAAAACTGGCCACAACGAATATGTAAACAGAATTTTACTTTACAGTCTACGCCATCCTTTCCTCCACAACTTTCGTTCGTCATAAAAAACGTCGATTTGAAAATTGATTTCAATGATTTCTCGAGTGATTTAAAAGTGAATACTTCTGAAATCCACCAAGTTATTCGACTAAAAAACAAGTTTCAAAATGATATTAAAATGATAAAAGTTGAATTACTATCGGTGGAAAAACGTGACGAAATTTTGGAAAATGGTAGAATTCATGTGAACGGGATGTGTTATGATGTCGATCCGTATCTTAGTCCAGTGACAGTACTTATTTGTAGTAAATGTCAAGGGTTGGAACACTTCAGACGCCAATGCACACAAGTGAATGAAACTTGCAAGGTTTGTGGGGATTCTGTTCCAGATTTGAAACATCATCAGTGCTCCCAAGTGACAAAATGCGTACATTGTCAAGAAAATCATCTCTCTAACGCTCTCAAATGTTCTGTCGTGAAGAATTATCCTTCGGCTTTCACTAGAAAACTGCTGTCTCTGAATTCTAATCCTTATCCAACTTCTGTTACTAATAATAATCTCGATTTCAATTCTCATCAACACTTTCCAGCATTACCACAAGTACAGGCACCATGGTACTCTGCTTCAACTAGTCCTGTTATTAATAAAGTTGACGAACTAATAAATAAAGTAGTTGAAATGAGCCAGAATTTAGAACGAATTGCAAAGAAGAATGACGATCTTGAAAAACTAATGAAGGAGAAAATTGAATGTGATGAAAGAAATTGAATGGTTGAAAAAGAATAATGGAAAGACGAATATGAGTATTGTTCAACATGATCTGAAGATTGAAAGACATGAGCAGATGTTTAGGAAACTGGTGCTCCCTTTTCTGGATGAATTAATAAAATTTCTGTCTCAACTGGATCTAAGTATGAAAGCTGGAGGAGGATTGGACAATGCAGATTTTAATGTGACTATAAATAGAATAAGAGCACAAATTACACAATCGAAACAAGGTTCTGTTATTTGATAATGACCTTATCCCCTTTAGCTCCTTCTTTTTTTCATGTGTGACCCAAAAAAGGCTAAATGAGCGGGAATCTTTTTTGTGTAACGCGCGCAACAATGTCTTTCTAAGCTCGATTTTTCTTTACTACTTGAAATTTTGTCTGAATGGGAAGGTTCTTCCCTACTATCTGAATGTTTGAAAAACTGGGAATCTTTCAAAGTTCGTGACACTTCTTCGATTGTCAATTCTCTACATTTGCTATCTTTTAACATTCGAGGCCTCGATCTGAGACTCTAGGAGGCGATTCTACTTACAAACTCATTCAAATTTGATATTCTCATTCTATTGGAAATTGGTTCCTTCAACCTGTCTCTCTGTCGCCAGATCTTTTCCAATTACAAGTTGTTTATTCAGCCAGAGGAAAATTCAAATGGAGGTGTTCTTATTTTAGTTCGTAAGGATGTGAAAACTACGAGAATTGTTTGTGACATTCTAAATGTTTGTGTTCTTGACGTTGGTGAAGGGGATGAGGTAATGAGAATATTTGGTGTGTATATACTACCGAGAGTAGGTCATGGAATTGGGACAGTCTTACTCCTTTTGTCACTTCGAAATGTGCGGTATTCGCTGACTTCCATGTGGATTTAGTGGAAGACGAGACCAAGGCGGAGTACCTTTTACAGTGGCGGACTCAGTACAACTGGCACAATTCTGTCCAGAGTCTCCAACTTCACTCAGGTCAGATCGAATCATTGATTTTGCTCTAGTTGCTGGTTTTTCGATTTCCATCCAAACCTATGAGGGTGGTACAACAAGTGATTACAAGCCCATCCTTTCGATAATTCCAACGAAATCGAAGGACGTGGTGTTTGATATAAATATTCATTGACAAGTGTTTTGTTTATTTTGTGAATTTGTATACTCTTATTGGAAAAAACGTTGGAATTTGAACTTGTTAGTTGAGATTCATCATGATTATGTTTCGTTTCTAGCTCTACTTGTTTCCAGGTGCACAGTTCTCTTTCCACTAGACGAGTACAGGATAGCGATATGGAGGGATCTGAGTATATACATGTCTTACATGAGAGCTTTGACATTCAAAAACAAACCGACAAACGATACCGAATTGCAAAATGTGGTGAAATTTCGAAAGAAGATTGCAAACTTAAAGTGGAAAAAGTTTCTATCTAACAAGTTGATTGCATCTGGGTCTTGTCGTAACTCTTCTGCATCCATGTCTGTCACGTTTTGGTTAAGAGCAAAAAGATTCATGAAACCTTCGTCATCTTCTTTACACGGTTTTCTTTCAAAAAACGGATAGATTGACAAAGATCCAGACAAAATGTGTAATATGGCTGCTGATTTCTATGAAGAGTGGTTCCAAGAACCACAGATTCCCCACAGATTATTTGGGATAACTTTGAAGAAACAATTCCCTGGCTTCACTCGAGGAGGTCATGAATAAAATATTGTCAATTCCAAGAAAAAGAAGAAAAGTTCAGATGCTTCAGTCCTATCTAGCTTCATGTTCAATTCTCTGCCTGTTGTTCATTGATTTGTTCTCCTGAAAATCTTCAATAACTCATTTGAAACAGGTATTGTTCCAAAGAAGCGGAAAGATTCCGGAATGCTTCTTCTAGCAAAAGAATAGTCTACTTGTGAGTCTTCTTCCACTAGACCAATTTCGTTAATTGATGTTTTCTCGAAAGTCAATGAAAGTTGTTCAAAGACCGATTTTGTGACGTTTTGAAATGTCGAGGTCTGTTGCCGGATTCCGTGAGAAATTCATACTTCAGACAAGAGTTTTACTCTTCTTAGAGGAAGTTTCTTCATTGATGGCAAATAGTAGTTCTGTCAGTACTGTTTTTGTTGACTTCAGGAGTGCCTTTGATGCATTATGGCAT